GAATATAAACAACATACTTACATAGAGAAGGTGAAACTAACCTTTTTAGGTGCCTTTTTGTTTCAAAATGAACAATAATAATAGTTGATGATCCATTTCTCTGTGTTAACTGAATAGAATGATTTGACTAAATGCTAAACAAGAAAAACATGTAAAAACATGCTGTAACCGAACTAAAGGTGTGACAGATAACAACAAAAACACTTTGAAAAGCACAGATTTCTCAACACATGGCCCCCTGTCATTGTAAAATAGAAGAGCTTGATGTTGTTTATAAAACTAAGCCTTGGACAAACAGCTCTGTCCCAAACGTCACATTTGTCTAAAACGATTAAGGACGGTTGCACTCAAGTGTTTGTAGATGCTGTCATCCTTCAAGAGATATATCTTTTTTATTTTGGAGATTAAGCTTCACAGTCTGCCTACAAAATTGTGATAAGCAGGACTGGCATACCGATAAGTTAGACACATCGGAGTAAGATAGAAGGAAAATAGTTGATTAAGTATAAATGAGCTTTGCTTGCAAACATAGAGGGTGAAGTTATCTTATTCTTGGCTTGATTGAATAAGCAGGTATTTACTGAAAATATGCGGTCTCTCACTGTCAAGTCTCTCACTGTCAAGTGGATGATTTCAGAACAGACGAGGCTTATATAAATACCGCATCGGCCTGAATATGAGACAACTTTTCTTATTAAGACTGATTGAAAATAAGACACACATTAATATGACAGGTTGAAGAAATTCTGCAGTAAAACGAAGTCCCTGTGACCTAAGATTTTCATCGTCATAACTACACTGTCGCTATGTTCGTATGACCAATAAAAGCCTTGAACCTTGAGGTGTTTACAAACTCTCATCTTCGTCATCTTGTCCTTAAATTTGTTTCTCGTTTAAAATGAAACATGGTTCTGCCAATAGACCATAAATCTCACCTTTTTTCGCAGCCTCTTCAAGAATGTTTTGAACGATGCTAGTAATAAGCATTCCTTTGTTCTATTTTTCAGTCACTGCTCTGTCTTAAAAAGTCTACGGAAAGATTTTCTGTCAGTGCTGTGTTTTTAAGACTGTCCTTTAGGGCTTGTCATCTTGTAAGTGGACATTTTGTGACATTGTTATTGTTTGCTGCTGGACTAATGATTATGTCCCCTGTCAATTGTTCTGTCCTGTATAGGTTTGTAAATGCTTTCTCTTACTTTGAAAATCAAAATGTTCTGCTAGTGGATGGCATGGAAAGCTTATAAGCTTATAAACCATAATACTTAAGTCTCTTTAATAGAATAGTTTGAAATCTTTCTAGATTTCCTTGTTTCTAAAAGGGAAAATCATTCAAAGATAAAGATTATTTCAGTTTCTTTGTGTTGATTATAGGGCTGGAGGTATGGTTTCCTAGCTTAGCATAAAGGCTCTCCCCAGGAAAAGCAGTTTGCCTTGGTCTGTCCAAAGTTCAAGATATGCATACCAGTACCCTAAAGCTTACTGAATGAAACGTACTACTGTATGTTGTTTGTTTAATTCTAACATTTCAGTTTCTCTCTGCCCAGGAACTGCAGGTAGAAAATCGCTATTACAATTAATGCAATATCTATTACAAGGCATCCCTTCTCTCTGTTTGAGGTTGTTATTGTACATGAAAAATTGAAGAAAATATTCAATTAAACAAGACAAAGGTATGCAGATTAAACAACCAAAAACATGCAATAACTTGCAAGCTTCAGTTCTTATCATTTTCATGTTTTTATTGAAATGGTTCTGCTTGCTTCCAGTCTTTGTGCTAAACTAAGCTAACAATGTCCTAACTCTAGATATGTACTCAACACATGAACATTAGATTTATATAAATGGTATGATCCATCTCTTGGAAAGTAAGCAATCAACTTGTTTTGAAAAATGTCAAGCTATTCTTTCAGAAAAGGTTCTGTATATTTAGTTGTTTGTAGTCCTAAGGCAGCTAGGCCAGCAAGTTTCTACTGTCTCTCCGCAGACACATTGCTAATGTTGTTGTTTTTCTTCCATAAAGGAGTGGACCAAAAGCAAATAAGTGTGCTTCCCAAATGTCAAGCTTTTAATTTAACTAACTTACCATTTAAAACAATTTGCAGTAAACAATCATCGTACTAATAGACAGGGGAACATAGTAATCCATTACATACCCAGGATAAAAGTCCATGTTTCCCCTTTTCATGTTCAGAATGTGGTCATGTTCATGGTTTAAATCAAGGAACTACACATATTCATTCTTCTTTGTGGCTTCCTGCGTGTCACTAAAGCATGTCACAAGACTACAGCTCATGTGTAATTATGTTATGTTGTAGACAAAATATCCCAGTCTCCTTTTTATTAGCTACAAGAGTGGAAGGACTATCCGAGTATCCATCAGTCTTTTTTGTTTGTTTCATCTGTTTATCTGAAAGTCACCTTGTCACAGGGACTTTCAGTCAATAATTGGGTTTGCAATAGAGTGGTGCAGTGATGACGTATTTCATTTGGCTGACCTGAAAGTTAGCATCGCAAGGGGTCCCACGCCATAAAGCAATGTGATTCTTCAATGTGATTTTGTAATATTGCAGAAAACGTGATCTGTGGTCAACACACTTTTATATTTGTGGCACGTTTTGCTCAGCAGGAAAACTTTTAGCAGGATTTTAACCCTAAAGTTGACGTGTAAATGTATTGCCTGAAGTAAATGGCTAAAGTATTGCTATAAACAATCTACAAAGGTTGTATGACCATGCGTCAACACCGCTAAGCTAAAGGTGGACTTGTGTTTGGTCTGAGCCACTTGTAAGCAACCACTGTCTGTCTGTCGCTCTGACATGTAAAAGCTTCAGACATTCAATAACGTGAAGCTCTTGTACACTCTCTAACAAAAAAACTCATTCAAATCAGCATTGACTTTAAGATGAGCAAGGGATAAAATGCTAACTTATTTCAGGCTTCCCTCCACAACTCAATACTAAGCCTTGTGGCTCAATATGAAGACGCATTTCAGAAGTTGCTTTACGGTTGGCTTATAAACAGTTTTGAGTCATTGCCGTACGTCCTCTACGGACAGTACTAGCTTGTATCTCTCTCTGTGGGTAATATAGAATATATTCTGTATATGAGCTTGAGTGCTGTCAGGTTTAACCCTGACTCCAGGCAGCTGGCCCTCTTATCTGTCCCGCCTGTGCCGATGCATATTTATCTCTCCCCGCGGGGCTGAGAGCTGGCTTAGCATATGGATTAGCCGGAGAATCAGATTCATTCACTGCCTTCCAAAATGTGAGGCAGCATATATTTTAGACATGATCATGGTTAAGCGGTTACTTTTGATATACAGTATTTGCAGTATTTCAATATTTAAACACGTTATTTGCCCTAAAAAAAAGGCTGCGCCTAGGAACAGCTTCTCTGTATCGACTTGTGATTTGTGAGACAGCAACAGTTTAGTCAAATCTGATATAAAATAAACACTGTCAAGTCTGTGCCTTCTGTTGATAATGCCGCCAAAAAAGCAGCTACGTTTTGTGCATCCAAGAATAATAATAATGTATTATCTTCTTAATGCGAGATAGGAGTGGCGCTGTGTGTGCCGCCTGCCAAGTCAGGTGGAAAGGTGAGAATGTCGCAGTGCTACTTGGCTGAATGTCATCAGATAGTAATTCAACCTGGGAAAATGTATCTTGTGTGCCAAACACACACACCATAATGATGACGTTATTGTGTTTGATTCAATTGTTTCTCAATCAGAGCTGAAACAAATTAAATTCTTGAATGACAGGAGGTTAATGTTTTAGGCTTGCCTTAGCACGACGAAAGCATTTAGTTGTGGTTTTGACATATTTTCTTTAACTATGCCAATAGGTGTTCTTTCCTTCACCACAATACCGTACATATCTAGATATTTAGTCACGAAGAGATTATTTCGTAATGATGTGATGTCAGATGTGATCTGGTCATTATCAGCATGAGTGAATATTGAAATGTTTGTACGTGTTGTTTGTGTTTGTTGCTGTTTATTTGACTGTGTTCAAATATTTGCGTCTGAAAACAGATGTGAAGCCTTATTGAATTTGCATCTGCGAGTGGCTTTATTTAAAACAAATGCAAATAGGCAGTTTAGATCCTGTTCAGGATGAGATGATTGAATATGATGCGCAATGTAATCTAATTTACTTCAATAGTCATACATCAAGGCCAGACTAAAGTTGTTATGCAGTTTTCTGCCCAGGTATGTCAAGCATGTGCACTCTTCCTCAGGAACAGTCTACTTAACAGTCTGTTCAGTTCTGATCCCTCTCACATTCACAAAGTGCATTGCTCATCTTAACCTTGAAGTTGCGTATTGAGGTGTGACTTCTAATTATTCACATTGGCTGCCAGGATTATGACATCTTGGGTTCAAGTACAGGTGTTCAACCTGGCTGGTTGCTAATAACGCCTGAAGCCTTCCTTTTAATGAAGAAAAAACACAGGTGTTAATAATAAACCTTGTAGCAGGAAGAGTAAAGTAGCCAGAGAGGATTAATACCTGTACCATTAACAGCAGAACATCTATTTCCATCAATGAATTCCTGTACTGTGCTCTCCTGGCCTTTTTAAAAGTCCAGTAAGGTTCCTACTATAAACTCCCTTTGATTCCTTTTGGCCAGCCTAAGCCTTAAGTTAGACACTTCATTTGGCTAAAGGATTAGACTACTAAGCCTTTTAGTGGTAAGCTGGTCACATGAAAATCTAACATTGGTTTGCATATACAAGAAACCCTTGCACCTCCTTCGGGGATTTTCCTCTGGTGAACTCTGAGACTCCTCCCATGTCATCCCTGACTTGGCAGTGCATGCATGCATCAGTGGCCATGTGGATCTCCTTGTGCAGAGCTGTGGCTATCTGTAGGATTTGGCTAGCAGGATCTATCTGTAAGCCTTTTCACTCCCGAGAGCATTTGGCCCGGTGGATGTTTGTCTTTTGTTGGCAAAGATGTCGAGGAATCACAGATTGTCTCTTTGATCTGATTACAGAGTTCCCTGAGAGCTACGTTTGGATGAAAGCTGGGATGAAATGTAAAGAAACAACAGCAGAGTAAAGACGACTGACCACCAAGGTAAGACATGTTTTCACAAGCTTTGAGCACACCTCTGGAGGTTGACATGTTTGCCACCAAGTCACTCAATATTCCTGTTTCAGCACATTCTTCATTAACTGTGAACCTACATCAATCGAATCTGTGAGTGCATGTCACGTTGATACCTAGTTCGTGTCGCAGAGTCAAAGGACTGGAGGGGAGGTGGGGCTGGTTTTATTTTTCCATGCTGGAAAACAGTGTCTCATTACCACAGGTGCAGATATCAGATCCTGTATGTATAGTACATCTGAGCTGTACAGCACATATGTTCAGCTCACTCACATGTTGATCAGTATCCCCTGCTTTTTGCCTGTAGATTGGAAAATGATCCAACCCAATAACCACAAGGCTTCAGCTCTCCATTCTGAGAGCTTTTCCTCGTCTTCACTAGGGCTGTACCCGAATATCCGTTAGTTGGGGTACTATTCAGGTTTCGTTATTCGGATATTCGTTTGTTTTGTTTTTTTCCCGTTACTTTTTCAAATGTAATTGATTGAAATCTCCAATATCAACGTAAGAGCTTGTGCCTCTTCGGGGGGTGCTAACACTTTCTCCGTCTTTATATGTAGATATCACTTTTCTCCGTTAATCTCCGTCACGTTGTTTCCATAGCAACAACAACTTCCTGTCAACAGCGCTAACTCTTGCAGGTCTCCCTTGAAAAAGAGATCTATGATCTCAATGGGACCATCTGGTTAAATAAAGGTTTGAAATGAAATGAACTCTCCTTCAAAATAAAAGCATGTCCATACAAAATAGGAAGCCAAGCCAAATTACACTTAAGACATACAACTGCAATGAAAGTAACAAACACAATGCAATATCCTTTTCAATTTCAAAGAACACAAGTTGGGTTATTTACATTAACAAATAACTATAAAACAACAATACTGTAGAATAACAAAATGAATGCCGTGAATAAAACCGAAATACACGTGTTGAAGCGGTTCCCTGCTGATTACTAATTAGCATTTCACAATCTTTGCATTTTGTCATAGCCAGTGATTCTGAGTTGCAATCACATACCCTTTTGGAAAATCTAACACAACCCACTTTGAATATTCTCTAGAATAACAATATGTATGTTGTCTTGTCTGAGCCCTCCGTCACGTCTGTGCCCTCCGTCACCTCTGTGCAGCAGGGATAAACATCTATGCATCTAAGGAATCACTCGGGCTGACAAGGCAGTAAATGGACACACTGGAATTAGCCGGGTGCTGCAACAGATTATTTGGAGACAGTTTTTCTTTCCATCTGCTGGCTGTGGGCCAGTGTGGCGCTGCACAGTTCACAGACCCCAGGCTGCAGCAGTCAGCACTCCTCCTGAAGAACTTTACCCTGCACAGTGATGAACTTGCACTTTTCCTCTCCGGCATGGCCACAGTCTGGAGGCTAGCATGCCGTTCCACAGTGACATCTCACACCTCTGTTTGACAGCAGTGCTTATGCTGACTTATGATCCTCTTCATGTTGCAATTTCATGACTTTTATCTGCACTCAAGGCCCCACGCTGAATAGGCAGATGTGCAGCAGTAACTGTTAAGGTGGGGTTTCTCGATACTTAACTCAATTCAGTAAAAGTCAAATGTGTGTGAATGTAACTCAAGCATTGAAGTGAGATCTGTAGTCACCTTTTCTTATCTTGGAAGGCAGTTGCAGTTTTTTGTGGCACTTTTGTCTCATTAATATTAACAATCTGCACCTCAAAATTGAGATGAAAAGGCATTTGAAATGATGATCAAATATATATCAGATGCAATGACATAACAGCTGACACATTAAAGAAAAGGAATAGCCTACTCACTTTTGCTTACCTTCTTTTAATGAAGACGTGTTACAAATGTGAACAGTCTGGATTCAGAAGCTGATAAGCCTAAGTTATTGAAATATGAATACAAAATGTACTGGGAAATCCTGACAACAGACACTTGTGTTCCACAATCAACACAAGTTGTTTGTTGGCCTTTATAAAACACAAAAGCACTTCTAATGTTAGATATTAGTGAGTGGGGCTTTGTTGTTTTTGGCCTAATGTATACACTGGCTTGCAGAGTTTCATTCTGGCATGTGGCAACATGTTACTTAGGGCTACACACATGAGTGTATACATAAAGAATGACTGTGCAGGTTGTTCTTGGACATTTAGCATGGCTGTTTTTTGGTGTCACCCAATGTAGTACATCCTACAGGAAGTTAGATCAACTTGTTTGAGGCTCAGGTTCGCACCACATGTAAGTGGGACTCTCTGAGGTTTGCACATCGGTTGATCTGCAACTACTCATAACACTCTTCTCTGTGCAGATATGTTTCCATAGTAACATAACTTGATTAGCTGATATAGCTGCCATTTGTAGTCAAAGTGACAGTAATCAAACGTTACAATTGAATGTTTTGCACATAAAACAACAAAATCCAAAACAGGACCTCACTCCAGTTATAGTACACTCACTTTTCTGATGTGCAGTGTGGGGCAACTTCCCATCAGCAATTAGCCGGCCTATTTGAGAGGCTAGTACATGAATCAAAACAAAGTGGTTTCTGTCAGTCTGGCTTCTGTCAAACTGATGAGAGGTGAGCATGGCCGCTGCACCGGCACACACACGCCGCCCCCCTGCTTCTCAAGTGGCACAGAGAACAAGCTGAGCCACTCCCTTCCCATCTGTCATGCCCATCAGGGGAATCACTGCCTCGCTCTGACACACACAGACAAACACACACACACACCCCACCTGGACACACATTCACAGACGTAAATACAAACAAGCACACACATTCATCAAACGGACAAATATGTACAAACATACACATGCACACAAGCAAATACAAACACAGAGTCTAAAATCATTTGAATTCATACAAAGATAATCTCTGAGCTCTGCTGACATTTATCTCCAACCAGGGAGCAGCGGGGGGTGCGTAAAGCAGTTCGGGCAAACAGAGTGGGCTGGAGCCAGAGGTCAAATTACTTTTATTCTCTGACAGTTTGACTCACCACCTGGTTGGGTAATCCCAGCGCACGCTTTTGGACTGCTCCCGCACTAAACCCCAATTTCAATTTAGGTGAATTGAATTTCTCAAATGGCCATCCGAGCCCTGCCTGCTGGGGACTAACCGGAAGAAGTACGCTTTATGAACGTTAATGCTGTGCAGAAGACCGACACAGTGACATTTAAAAGTGAAAGCATTACAGTCAGACGGATGTGAGCGCAAGCTGTCTCTATATTAATGCTCGGCCCCTCCTCTTTTAGTGGCATTTGAATAAGCGTTCATTCTTGGTGATCAATAACCTAACTTAATAACTTGCCTTGAGGCTCTCTGATGTCTAGACAGAATATCGTTTTGTTTTTTACTAATCCAGGGATTCATTCAGAAAGACAATTACAAAGCATGCTGCTAAATGACATTTCCAGGAACAGAGGAAACAATAACGGAGTAATGTCTCAAGCTAATACCAATTTGAATGAGTTTGTCTACAGTACGTGAGGTTGTGTTAATACTGTGATTGGTGGCTTCACCTGCGTCTTAGATCAACTGGGACGTGGTGTAGAGTTCTGTACGGCTTTCTGCTATATGCTAATATTGTTTTGTAGCATAAACACACTGAAGCTGTTATATTAGGTTGCCACGTAGTAGAGATAGAGGGGGCGGTGTTTTATGAAACTGTGCGGTTTCTTGGACAGTTCTCTCATTCAATGAAAGGAAGTGGTTTTGCCTCCGCTCGCTGAAAATGTTCCTCTTTTGTAGCTTTCTGTCAATACTCCGCAGTTTCATTCATTCTGACGTGTTCTTCTCTATCAAACCCGAGCTTTCTGGGTTGTTAAGTAGGCTCAAGTGGAAAAGTACAAACCACTGGCATCAGTAAGTCAACAGTGTTTGTGTTAATATTGGTTAGGGCCGTCGAATACCGATCTACTGTAAATGAGCTTTCAACTTTGATCATCTCATTTTAAAAGCAGTGTCACGCTCCTACCAGTATGTTTTTAGCCTCATGGCCCCCTGCTTACAGCTGGCATTTTGCAGATGAACAAACTCAAGCTATTTGACACAAATGATTTCTGCCATCTAGGTTCCTTTTTTTGTTTTTAGTAGTCTGCAGTATTTTCTTAATGAACTAGTGAAAAACGTTGTTGTCATAAGATTTTAAATAGATTATTAAAACGATTCCATTTGGGATTGGTTTGTTACAATCCCAAAAAACATGATAAATATATCACATTTATTGCCATGTAGCCTATCATATGAAATAAACAATTAATAATAACGTCTTCACGTGCTAATAAAAAAAAAAGGACCTTAAAAATCAATTGGAATGGTCGATTTGTAAAATAGTCATGGTAACGATTGCCTACCTTTCCGAGCTGTGTTTTAATTGAACTGGAGCTGATGGTGCTGCAGAGTGAGAGGCTGAAGCCAAATACTTTATCGTTTCCAAAGACTCAAGGTGTTGTGCCTTCAGGAGATGCTTAGCTGTTCTGTTAATTGCTTTTTTTTTTAAATCACGTTTGGCTGGTTTTCAGTTATAGAGCCCTCAGGATTTTAAATATCCATTAACCACACCAAACCCTTTGGAAAAGGTTTTATTAGTTCAATTAAAATACAAAAATAAAGATTCAATTAACAGAATCTTTTAAATGAAGCATTTGGTTAAAACTAAATGGACATATTTCATCGCTTGGCATTTCATTTGCGTGTCTGTTCTGAAATGTCTTGTTAATATCGACGGCACGACACACCAACAGAGATATACAGTATCTGTTCTCAGTTAGATAATATCAGCAATGTCGATGTATCCGTCCGGCCTTAAAACTCCACACAGGAACCTTTAGGCCAGTTTAAAAGACAAATGTGTTCAACCTTCAAACAAGCCAGAAATCTAAAATTCATGCCTGAGTCACAGTACTCACAACGAGTTACTTGAGTTTAAAGTATATGTCATGCTGTGAGATACTTGCGACATTCAGACTGTCCTATGAAAATGT